AACAACATTCCTAGTTATGACAGGCCCCAAGGAACTCTTCCTGTTCAACATCTCATCTGCTCTGCTGCCAGAGCTGAGAAGTCCAGCTGGACTCAATTGGTCTTTTTTGTCTCTTTCTTGCTTATCTTTTCCTTTTCCCACATTTATGGGTTCTGTCTCCTTCCTTTCCTATGGCTGTTTTTCCCCCTAGTCTCCCTGTCCATGTTAACTGCAGTGCTGTGACTCTCTCACTGTGCACTGCTGTGAGGGTTCCCCACAGATGGTTGCTTCCTACACCCTTGGCAGTATAAAAAAAAAAAAAAACAAATTTAGGAGTAGATTTCTTGTGCTTTATGTTGTTTTTGTCTTAACAGTATTCCAAAGGGTATGTGATAGCACTTGTTGACCAAGCCTAGTGAACAGGGAGAGAAGAGGAGCTGCAGCTGATTTTGGAGATACTTTTTATCTGTGAAGAATCTGTCTGCAGTTTAGGTCAGAAAGAGAATTCCATTGAGGGTTTTGTAACTATATTTTTTAATTTGCTATATTCTAAGTATTTATTGTGTCAAACCAGAGACTTCTTACTTGGTTTTAATTTATTGTGGGTTATAGGAGCAAAGAAACATCCTTTTTTGGAGGGAAAGGTTTATTCTACAAGGGAAAGTTGCCCATCTTTGAAATAATTTAATTTCTTGTTGGTTTTGTTGGGTTTTTTTTTCTTTCTCCCACTGCCCTGACCTTTTCAGAAAGCATTAGGTAGAAGGAAGGATTCTTGCCATCATGTACTCTTCAGGGGAGAGAGGGGCCTGGTGGATAGGGTGGATTGTTTGACAGATGCTGCTGTATTGAACAGCCATAACTTGGGCATGATAAAAACAGGCAAAGCTGTCCCTAGGCAGGTACTTTGTTTATATTTGTGCAAGGTTCTGTGGCCTGCTCTATCAGAACCTTAGTAAAGCATTAAGATTATTGCTTTACCTTATTCCCTTTCACCTCCAGTCTTGCCACCCAATGAAAAATTTGGAATGGGGAGGGCGAGGAATAGAATTCCTTAACAATAATTGAACAAATCCTCCCATCCCTGCTCTCGCATAATCAAAGCTCAGGCAAACATACAGGTATCTGCCCAAGGCCCGTAAATATTTTATTTAGCACAGGGCTTGCTTAAGCCTTGTGTTCATTTTCCTTTCGGTAGTGAGACTGGAAATCCCACATAAGTTAGCTAAGTAATCAGTTTGATGGTCTGATTTTAAAATACAGTAGTACCTTTTTAAAGGAAATTTGCATAAAATTGAATTGAAAAATTTCTTGCCTTTGCTATGCTGGATCTGTCCTTTCCAAAATCAGTAAATCCTTGTTACACTTATGATACAGAGGAGACCTGGGTAGCAACAAAGCACCAGCTAGGAGGAGCTATTGTTCTTCTCCAAACTGCTGTAAAACCCCTCTTCTCTTCATTCCCCAGTAAAGTATTCTGGTGGTACAGGAGCATTCCAATGACAGGAACAGATGGCTCTTCACTGCAGGTTCTGACCTAGTGTCTTTTGCTTATACCACCCTCTGTTGATAGTGGCTGGGTTAACTGATTTTAGTTTTATAAAGTATTTCTTTTGTGAAATTGAAATAAAACAACATAATGTCAGCTTAAACCATTTTGAAATGTCTTGTTCTTTTTTCTTTTTTTTTTTTCTTTTAATTAATACTTTTTGGTCTGAAAAGTGTCTTTTTGGCTTTTCTAGAATTAAACAGAATTCATCACTGGTTGGGTTTTGAATTCTTTTCTACCATTTCTTAATCCCATGTTTCATCTGGAGTCTCACTTCTTGGTATAAAGCAAAAAAACTGCTGCTAACATATCTGATTTGTAGTCTATAGAAATAATAATAGTAATAATGATAAAAATAATAACAATGAAGGCGTAGTATTCTGAAGCATGGCTTGTTGTTGCCATGATTTTGGTACCTTAGATACAACCAATTTACAGCCATAATATTCAAGTGGGGACTTTTAGATGGGCTTCTATTTGCAGTATTGGACAAGCCATTAATACTCCTGCTTCAGTTTCCCTGTCTATAAAATGGGACCGTAGCATCTGCCTCAGGGCCTCTCTGAGGGTCAGACACGCAATGGCTATAAATGCTCTGAAGTTTTTGGTATTATGTCCAAGTGTTAGACAGTAACAGAAGGAGGAAAGTGTCTGCTGTGTGAGGCATACTGCATACTAATACTGGAGTGGCTGTCTAAGCTGTGTGCGTATACCATGAGACTTCATGATATCTACTGCCCACTGTCCCTGCACCTGCTGGCATTGGGTACTACATAAAACAAAACCAGTGGGGACTAGTTGGTTTGGTTTAACTTCTGGCAGTTGTAGTGAGCCTGAAAAAAAGGGGAAAGAATCCTACTTTTGTGTTGGTTATATTTAAAACTGGAAGGAATAAGAAAGGATTAAATGTAAAGCAAACGGGTACAATAGTGCTGTGCTAATGTGTGTAAGATCTGAATGGACTGTGTGGAAGGAGCAAGGACTAATGCCGTCCCATCTGTTGAAGCAGGAGTTTGATAAGCTCCCTGTATAAACAAATCTGTATGGTTTCATCTAAGCAGAGCTTGAAAATACTGGTTTAGTCATAGAAGTTGCTGAAGAATAACTTATAGCTCATATACTGTTAATGTTCTTGTGGTTGTTATTTGAAAAGCAGAAGATTGTTATGTTTAGGGCTTTTTTCCCCATAATTATCTGATTATGAGCTACTGCCATGTAAACCATTATTATAACTGGCTGCTGGACACAGTGTGCCAAAAATAAAAACCTTATTAGTGCTGGTATTGCTTGTTTCTCAGTAGCCCATCAGATTAGACACGTAGAATAATATCAGAGGGCAAAATCCAATATTGCAGTTTCTTGTTTTGAGAAGACAAGGACAGAAGTGAAGTCCCTCATACCTACCCTTTCTGTGAAACTGAAGTGGGGATTCTTGTCAGCTGATGCATTCCATCCTTTTCAGATAGCTTCTCACAGGCTAAAACCATGCTGATCTCAGTCTCAAGATTGAAGAGCAGTTCTCTGACTGGGGAACTGTTTAGGGTCACAAATGCATATTGCCATTTTGAAATGATGGACCATGTACCTTAAATCTGCAATAGAAAGAGTTCAAGAATGTATGGCACACAGCATAAGTTGTCACCAGTATTAAAGCTATTATTTTCCTTTTCTAGTCTACCACTTTAGAAGGCAAAGAAATACAGCTCTCTTGCTGAAGATAGCAGTAAAAATAATGCAAGAAGGGCCACCGTTTAATAGAACTAGTTACATAAAATAGCACTACTGAAGCGATACGCGGAATAAATAGACTCCACAACCAGAGATAGTTATGAAGTGGGTATGTATGTCGGCGCCCGGCACAAGCGAGATAGCTCTCGTGAAATACTTGTGCCCCGAGCTTCAGTCTGACCCACCTCTTTATTCACAAAGGTGTTCCATATGCAATAGTTTGCACAATTTTTTCATGCATATTCAACCCCTGGCCCCGCCTGTCCTCGCCTCGTATGCTAAGTAGTTCCACGCCCTTCTGGGCATGCGTGGTTCGCTGTGGTGGTCGCACGGGGGTCTTTTGGTGGTCTCTGAGGATGAAGGTTGTGGTCTTCCTCGTGGCTGAACTTTTGAACTTTTCCCTTTGCGCATGCGCCCTTGGTCTCTTGGTGCTTATCTGAGTATGTCTGTGGCTTTGATTAGCTTGGAGCCAGAGGAGCTCCTTTATCTGGGTTCCCTTGGTTTCCTCTGGTATTGTTCTTTATGCAAGAAGCTTCAGAAATTTGCATTTCCTATGCCTTTTGTACCATGGCAGGGGTTTCTTAAGTAGAAGGGTTAAAATTCAACACATAGTTCTACAGGCTAAACTTTAAATGCTTAATTCATATTGCTAATTCAAGTGCATTCAAAAAAATCTCTTTCACTACCAGAAAGTGAAGTTCTCTGATGCTGAGAATGGAGGTCAAGTAAAACCCAAAAGACTTAAGGTAGAATAGGAAGCAGGTGTTTGTTTCTTTTGCACTTCAACAAGTTACGAGACATCATGCCTGCAAATCAGGTCAAAAGAAAGAAAAAAATACCCCTGGAGCAGTTTCATCGCAGGAAAGGAGAGTGCTAATAGCAGGGGTGCAGAGGCTGTGTATTTAAAATAGCAATCTTGTTCTTTAGGCTGCAGAGAGGCAGATTTAACAGGCTTACTGAGCAATGGGAGTATACATGTAACTCTGTGTAGACTATGGTGCTTTGTTACGATTTTGTTGGAGTTTTTCTCTCCTGAAGAAAAGTAGTCCTGTAACTCAAGTTACATTGCTGTTTTGACTGGAGTACAGATAGAGCATTTTTTATATGCTGGAAGGTATTGGCTGAGAGAAGCAGAACTCCTCCACTGTACTCATCCTGGTGATGATCAATAGCTTTATAAAATGATGCAAAATAAACGATATTGCCATGGATGCTGTTACATTTGGTTCAGTCATGTGGACCATTTTCACCTCTCTGCCCCTACCATCCGACACCAAGGACAGGACAGGCCTCGCACTTTGTCCGAGCTCTTGCAATGCTCGGTCACGGCGCTTCCCGTCGGCACCGGCTGCGGCGGAGGCCCAAGCGCTCAAAGACGCCTGGCTTAGGCTCGGGGACAAAGGACGGGAGTTGCTGCCGCGCTGCGTGTGGCGCGTACCGGCCGAGCGCCGGGGCTCCGTGCGCCGCCGCGGCACGTGAGGGGAGACCGCCCGCGCACGGCGCCCCTCAGCCGCCCCACTGCGGCTCCTCAGCCGCCCCGGGCAGCGCGGCGGGGCCCCGCGACCGCTGCGCCTCTCCCGCGCGCGGCCCCTGCTGGCAGCGCCGCTGTTTCTGGAGGGGACGGCGCGCGGCTGCACCGCTGAGCCGGCCGGAGCGAGATGGCGGTGGCACCGTCCGGCTGCGCCGGTGCCCGGCCCGGGCGCAGCGGTTGCGGCAGCCTGCGGGCCTCAGGCCGCGAGCCCCGGGGCGGCGGCGCGGGCCGCCAGCGGCCGCAGCACTGCACGGGCGAGCAAGCGGGAGATGCCGAAGCTGCGCGGGGAAGCCTTCTGGAGGGAGACGTTGCGGAGCGCCCACTACGTGGTGGCGCCCATGGTGGACCAGAGCGAGCTGGCCTGGAGGCTGCTGAGCCGCCGCCACGGCGCCCAGCTCTGCTACACACCGATGCTGCATGCCCAGGTCTTCCTCAGGGACGCCAACTACCGCCGCGAGAACCTCTACGACGAGACCTGTCCCGAGGACCGCCCGCTCATCGTGCAGGTGAGCGCGGCCCCTGCCCCGGCTTCCCCTGTCAGCCCCAGCACCGGGAGCGGCGGCGGCGGCTGCCGAGAGCAGCTTCCTTGGGCTCACCTTGCGGTGCCGTTCTCGGGTAACTTTGAGGACGCGAGTCAGCGTTGCCAGACGCACGTATGCCTTCTACCCGCTCGTGCTAACAAATCCAGGCCTTTCCCCAATGTGCATGAGTTGAAGGTAGTCAGCCTCATCCACATTTTAACGTGATTCTGTAGAATGACAGAAATCTCATTTTCTTCATCTAAATACCGCTGACAGTTCATGAAGATGTGTGTTTTTCTGTTTATCCCACGTTTAGCAGAGGATTTGCTGTCCTAACCCAGGGGCCTGGAGCACTGGACTTCCCAGAGTGTTTCAGTCCCCTGCAACTCATCTTTAGAAACAGATTGCAGTTGGTCTTGTAGAGTCTGGGTGTGTCCTGGACCTGGTGCCACTCGAGGATCACTGCTTTTTTGAGTATTAATCTGAAACCCTGAGCTCAGTGTTTAGCTATAGAGAAAGGATGCAAGGAAGATAGGACAGACTTTCAAGCATATGTTGCTTCTGCTTCTGGTCTACTGTGTGATGTTAAGGTATTTCACTCTAACCCGAAGAGGGAAAGTGGCTTGTGGAGCTGGAGAATAATGCAGGCAAAGACGGCTGTCATGAGCAGAGGAATCACTGATTTCTACACATGGAGCAGTTAAATGGATGAGGACTCTTTACCCTGGAAAAGAAGTGTCTTCCTTGACAGAGGGGAGAGATAAGAGGAGCCTGTGCAAGTATTACTGGCTTGAGGATGATGAAAGGGAAACAAGTAAGCGTAGTGGTAGTTATAAACTGTGAAATTCATTGCTGTGGGATGTACTGGATTCTGGAACATTACATGAGTTTAGAAGGCAAATGAAGGAAAACACTTGAGGGTCTTCAGGTGCAGCAAACACACCTTCTGTTTCCAAAGTCCATAAAGAAACTTTTTCAGCTTCTGCTGTTCCCTAGACATTTTGGTGTTGACCTTTGATCTGTCTCAGTACTGCTGTCACAGAATCTTGGAATATTCTGGGTTAGATGGGACCCACGAGTCCACAGCCCACAAGTACATTGAGTCCAGCTCTTAAGTGAATTGTCTGTACAGGGATAGAACTCACAGCCTTAGTGTTATTAGCTATACCATGCTCTAACCAAATGAGCTAATCTCAGCATCTCATACATTCTTCTTCTGTGGGAGGTAGTTTCTTTTGACACAGAAAAATAAAAGTGACGAAAATTCAAGTGATCTTAGAAAGCTGTAAGTCACAGATCTTCAGCTCAGTAAGCTGTGTGTCCTGGGTGACACTACCAGAACAGGATAAGTTTCTGTGAGCTTGCTGTGTTACCCTTCTTCCCACTGACCACTATTGGATATAAAGTGTGGAACTAACTGATCTTTGGATTGATCTTGTGCAGCAGTCCTTAAAGATTTGGTCACACAGACTTGGAATTAGATTAGACAGAGGTACATCTGAACTCAGCCTGCTCTGAAGACTTTGTTTACTGTGCTAATATTCTCCTTATATGACATGGTTGGAAGCTTTCCGTAGTTTCAGTTGTCTCAGAGAAAGCAAAATATTTTTTTTATTTTAGTAGGTGTCAGTCATAATTTAATGTAGTGCTATAGGGTTTAAGTAGCACCTTCTGCTGAGAAGTGTTTAAATTTTGTTTCAGGTTTATTAAAGACATGATGGAATTGCTTTTTGTGAAAAATGAAGTTTAGAAAATCTGTTTAAAACCATAAATGAGAAGAAGAGTTTGTCTCTGTCCTCTGCAACAAATAAGCTTCAAATTAACTAATTTTATTAATTTGCTTTTTGCACAGTTAATAATGTAATATTAATTACATTCAGTTAAGACTGAGCATTTGACTATAGCCCATATGTCTGTTTCACATTCCATGGGAATTCATTTTAGAGGCAGTTTTGCTTATTGGTATCTACAAAGTTTGAGCTGTCTCAAGACCCAGAGAAATTATGGGTAACTGTTTTCTTAAGCGCTGCCTTTCTGTACTAAAATGCTATAGCTGTTTGTTCTGCAAAGGATTTTAAAAGTTGTTTCCACTTATTCTTGGGTACAACACGTAAAATATTCATCTGATATTTCTTTGCCTCTTGAATGCTCATCTTTCTCATTTTGTCATTTGAAGGTTGAGAGTCTTTAGCTGGTAAGTGTCACAGATTTTGTTTTGAGGTTTTTTTTAATAGAATCATTGAATATCCTCAGTTGTAAGGGATTCACAAAGTCCAACTTCTGCACAGAGCAGCCACCAGAATCCCACCAGTGTTGTCCAGATGCTCCTTGAGCTCTGGCAGGTTTAGGGCCATGGCCACTGCCCTTGAGAGCCTGTTTCAGTGTCTGACCACCCTCTGGGGAAGAACCTTTCCCTGACATCCAGCCAGAGCCTCTCCTGACACAGCCTCAGACATTCCCTCAGCACCCTGTCACTGGTCACAGAGAGCAGAGAGCAGAGCTGTCCCTCTGCTGCCCTTGTGAGGAAGTTGTGGACTTCTACGGAGTCTCCCCTCTGTCTCCTCTTCTCTAGGCTGTACAAGCCAAGTGACCTCAGCCACTCCTTGTATGGCCCCCATCTCTGTAAGCTCCTTTGAACACTCCCTAATAGCTTTGGATCTTTCTTATATTGTGGTGTCCCAAACTGTCCCCAGGACTTGAGGTGAAGCAGCCCCAGTGCAGAGCAGAGCAAGATAATCCCTTCCGTGGCCCAGCTCCCCAAGATGCTCCCAGATGCCCCCCAAGGACATAGCTGGCCTTCCTGGCTGCCAGGGCACTGCTGGCTCATATTCAGCTTGCCATCAGCCAGGACCCCCAGCTCCCTTTCTGCAGCCCTGTTCTCCAGCCTTTTGTTCCCCTGTCTGTCCATACATGCAGAGTCACCCTGTCCCAGGTTCAGAATAGGCTCCTTGTCTTTATTGAACTTCATATGGTCTGTGATTGCCCAGCCCTCTTATTGTCACAGTCCTTCTGCAGCGCCTGTGTGCCTTCCAGGGCGCGGACAGCTCTTCCCAATTTAGTATCCTCAGCAAGGTGACAAATGTCAGCAAGGTTACAAGTCATTTATGAAGCTGTTAAAGAGCTCTGGCCCTGTCTAAGATGGAGCCCTGAGGAACCCTAATCATGACAGGTCACCAGCCTGATGTCATCCCAGTCACTGTAACCCTTTGCACTTGACTCATGAGCCAGTTGTTTGCCCATCACACAATGTGTTTGTCCAGCTGTGGGCTGGACATTTTGTCCAGAACCATCCTGTGAGAAACAGTATCTAATGCTTTACTGAGGTCCAACAAGATTACGTCACATGGCTTCCCTTGATCATTTTGAGAAATAGTGTTTGGTGTTATTAACTCTGCATATTTGCCTGTTTTCTGTAGCAGGTAGTTGCTTCATAACTACATCATAACTTTGTGTCAGTACTTCAGGAAAGCTATTGCCTGATTATTCCACTTCTCTTTGGTTTTCACAGTTCTGTGCCAATGATCCTGAAGTGTTTGTCCAAGCAGCACTGTTGGCTCAGGATTACTGTGATGCCATAGACCTAAATTTGGGTTGCCCCCAAATGATTGCAAAGAGAGGTATGTGCAAATCTGAACCCTGGATAAGCAGAGAAATGGCAAGTGGCATTTCAAATGGGAATGTTGGCAGTAAAATATCAAGAGGGCCAAGTCATGCCTTGGGGAGGCGACAGTACTGCTGAAGCCAGACTTAGTTACACCCAATGTAGCAGGTAATGGTTTTTGTAGTACCTAAAGCAAAAATTAGATATAATTAATTCTGATTTCTCTTAAGTGGCAGCTCCTGTGTCTAGAATATCCTTCAGAAACATTATTTTTAGTAAGAGCTTGGTTTTCTTTCTGATTTTTGCTCAAACAGCCTATTTTTTAAAAACTGCACTTAAAATTAGATCATTCAGACCCTTAGGATCTCCTATTTCCCTGACACTTGCAGAGTTTTTTCACAATAGTGTAGAAGAGGATGACGCCTACTGAATCCCTTAGATACTGCATGTTTGAAGACCAGAGGCAGTGTTTGAAAGTTTTGGATCAGTTAAGGTATTGAGAAAATATTTGTTCAGTAACTGCCCATTCTTCTTCTAAAATACCTTTCAAAGACTTATAGGAAATGATTAATGGTACAAATAGATCTTTCAGTCTGATCATCTGTTACCTAATAGGATTTATTAAACATCTGGTATAAACCCTTAGAAGTTGGACTTTGAGCTGCAAGTGTCAACACATCAGCCTTGGGGAGTACCAGTGAAAGTAGGGTGTGGGTATTCCTTGTTTATCCTGTAAATTTAGGGTGGCAGGGAGAACAGAATGATCCCACTCTTCCAGTTGGGGCAGGACAGAGCAATTGTGTTTCTGCCAGTGAGGCATATGAGTGTCTGGATCTTTGTAAGAGTTTATGAAAACTGTGCTTCCGGATCTTACTCTTCTGCGCAAGTCTGTCATGTGCTATTTTATCATAGGTCACTATGGAGCATTCCTGCAAGAGGAGTGGGATCTTCTTCAGAGAATGAGTAAGTATTTAGAGAAGGAATAGGATAAAGTAATTATTGAGAGAAGGTTTTGGGGATTTTGGGGGACTGGAGATGCATCATATTTCTTTAGGCAGAGTTGTGTTTGGGTTTTGAAGAGGTAGTTGTATTCTTTTTTTTGTTCTTTTATTTTTTTTATTTCATATGGTATTCCAGTGGTAACCTCAAGATACTTGGTGGTATCCCACGGCAAACTCACACTACATCTGCTAAAAAACTTTTGCACCTGAAACAGACTTCAGGTGAAAGTGAGTAATTTAAGTCTCAGTCTCATATGATAGCTTAGTGGCTCTCCAGCTCTAGAAACAGTAGAAGTCCCAGTGCCTTACTTTTTCACATTAAAGTTCTCAGGTGCCAAGGGTCATGTTTCTCCTTGAAGCCACAGTTTCCCTTTTCTGATCAACTCCATGTACTCTTTCTGTCCAGAATATAGCAAATTATGCCTTTCTTCTCCTAATTCATGTAGGTTATTTTCAGGCTATCAATAGCTGTTGTGATCAGTATCATATTTTTTTAAGAAATACATTTGTAACTGATATAAAAAGCAAAGTTTTGGTCATTTTGTAGAACTGAGAATGTGCCTTCATCCCACTTCAAAGCAAGTGTTGGAACCATGAAGTTAGACAGTCCTGTTTCTGTTTGCATTCCCAGTGGTCTGGGGAATCTTGAGTGATGTTTGGTACAAAGACACTGCTGGGAACCTGGAAGATAAGGCAGTGCATCCTTGCCCAGCATATAGTGTGGCTGTTGAGAAATATGCAAATCAGAATGGCCTCAAGGTGTGAAGAGAACCCAGGTCATCTAGTTGGGTGAACCCAGGCTGTCTAGTAAGAGAGGTATCTTAGGCTGTCCTCTTCCTCCTTCTTTTCCCAGCTGCCTTTAAATGGTGGAGCACTCTTTTCTGCTTGCATCTGTATACACCTTGCTTGCTCCTTTGAAAGGGTGATGGGAAGTACCTATCATTAGAGCTCATAGGATTTAGATCAGAAGACAGCAGGTGACTTCCTACATTATATATCCAAGCTCTGTAAGAGAAGAGAATTTCAGACACAGCATTACTCACTGTTTTCCAGTTGGTTCTCTCTGTTAGCTCTCTTTTTGGTATTTTTGTGATTCCATGTACTGGGTAAGGACTGGGAGTTTACCATGTTCTACCACCCTGACTCTATAACCTACATTTACTACTTGATTGCATCTGCAGCCTACCTCACTTGATAAGCCTCTGCTTGCCATGGATAAGACTCTACTTATAATGATTTTTTTGGTGATAATTTGCAAAGAAGTGAAGTACCTTTTTGTGGGAAAGGCAGACAAGCACGTGTTAATGTTGGAGGAGTACAAGCTATGAGGACTGCATAGCAGTAACTTCTTAGGCTTTTTACATACCATACCCAGTATCAGATCTTGAGGAGAGCAGACACTTTTCATAGCATTGTGCAGCCCACTTACCTGTGTTTTCAATCTTTCTCAGTTTTACTGGCTAACGAGAAGCTCTCTGTTCCCATCACATGCAAAATCCGCGTTTTCCCAGAGATTGACAAGACAGTGAAGTATGCACAGATGCTGGAGAAAGCTGGCTGCCAGGTAAGAAGGCAGCTGCTCTGTCTCCTCCTGCACTGGACACGTATCTTTTTGTAAAGTATCTGATGACCAGTTCTTGGTATACCGTGGATATGAATAGGCTGCATTATTTTACAGACAGAGCAAACAGAATGCAGACAGGTTCTGTGTGTTTGCAGCCCTAGGCTACAGGTCAGTGGTGTGGTACAAAAGACACAATGATTTCAGTCTTTTGTAATCACTGCACTGGGCAGCATCCTTCATCCTGTGGTTGAGCATCTCAATATTCACATAGTGCTGCAGGAGGCATGTGTGAATGCATAAAATCCACGGTACTGTAGAAGAAAAAGGGTATCAAAAGGTATCACTAGAAGAAGTAGGCAGCCTTCTAGGATTTAGCTCCAATTAAATTGGAAGAGATGGTCTGCAGTTAGAGACGGTACTGACAGTATTTGGACTTTCTGCTGAGGAGAAAGGTAGATCAATATATCACAAATTCCAAAGTGAATCACAAATTGAATCCAGTAGGAGAAGGAAAGGAAACCTGTAGGTTCTCCCATGATAGAATCTTTTCATGCCATGGAATAGCAAGATGAAAGGAGCCTAAGACCATGCCACGGTAGGTGAGCTGCTGATACTTTTCGGTGTTGCTAAACTCCCTGCACTCTTGAAATAGCAGCAGGAACTCAGTGGCATCCCTGAAGTGTAGGGAGCAAAAGGAAATTTTTTTCAGTGGATTTATTCCAGTGGTTCATACACGTCGAAAGCAAATGTAATGTTGTGTTCCAGCTGCTGACTGTGCATGGCCGTACTAAAGAACAGAAAGGACCACTTGCTGGCGTGGCATCTTGGGAGCACATTCAAGCTGTAAGGTTAGTGAGCAGTACCAGTCTTAGTGAATTCCTGCTAACACACTGGATTTTAAACAGATTGTACAGTGGTATTGAAGAGCAAACAAATTTATGTGACAGGAGGAGAATTCCTGGGTTGACTCTAATTCTCAGTTTTATGCATCTGTTTTATTCATTGGAATAGAAAAGCTGTAAACATTCCTGTATTTGCAAATGGAAACATCCAGTGTCTCAGTGATGTGGAAGAATGCATCCGTAAGACAGGAGTACATGGTGTCATGAGTGCAGGTAAAGAAAATTAACACTTCTACTCTGATGAGAATATGAGTTGTTTCTTATTCCCTTAGCAGCTTCGCATACATTTGTTAAAAACTTATGTCAGATTGACTTGATGAACAGCTTTGATTGACAGCTGAGTGGCCATTCTCCCTCATCTTACACTGGTCATCTCATACCAGGAATAGGAACCCCTTAAGATTGGTAAAGAATCATTATGTTGGACTTGCAATACCATTGACTCATTGAGTTCAAATGTAATTACCTGACATATGGGAGGCATATGGGGCTCCTGTGGTCCTGGAATATTTTTGTGACATCTGTTAATCAATGGAACAGTTTTTGAATGGTTCTCAATGAACTAAGTGCATCTGTGGGTTAATATTCCTGCAGGTGGTTCATGTTGGGTTGGGACAAGAAAGAATTGACATAACTTCCTACAGGAAGAGCTAGGATAGGCATCAGAAAAGCTTCTAATCACTCACACAATCAAAGAAGGGTTGTAGAATCTTGGTTTTAGATAATACTGGTTAACAAAAAGCTTGTGAAGCCAGTGGAGAAAAGCACAGTGAGAAGCTGTATTTGTGAATTTGGGCCAGACAAATATCAATACAGACATAAGGCAAGACACCTGTCATTTCAGTATTTATTGTTGCCACTGGGCAACAAAAGCAGTGATTTCTCTATCTGTTAATTGGTTTACTGTCTTCCTGTCAAGGTTATATGCCTTTCTAGAAACAGAACTTTAATTAGATATGAGCTGTTCAGTGCAATTAGGAATTGCATAGTGAAATATAGTATCCCAAGGTCAGGCTGGCGTATTACAAACCCTGTGTTCCTTTTGAGAGTACGTGGGTGATGTGTCTGTGGCTGTAGGATCACAGAAGAGATGATCAAACTCCAGAGCAGAGATTTTGGCCTTTGTTTCAATCGTGAAATGAAAGTTTGAGTATTTATTTTTGTTCCCTAGAAGGTAATCTTCATAACCCAGCTTTGTTTGAGGGCCGGAACCCATTGGTGTGGGAGATGGCTGAGGAGTACCTGGAGATCGTGCGGAAGTACCCTTGTCCATTGTCTTATGTTAGGGCTCATCTCTTCAAGCTCTGGCATCACACGTGAGTATCTCCATAGAACTCTTTTACGTTTTCAGGGCTCATCCTGCTTAGAAAGTGTCTGGGCTTTCTGGACAAGGATTTGTTTGGCCAGAATGAGTATGCTGCAAAGTTTTCTTTCCTGGACCTGGCTGGAAGAGGGTGTGGGCTGAGGTCTTTACCCTTTATTTCATATCAGGGATACAGGGCATGGGGAATGAACAAGTTGCCACAAGATCAGCCAGGGTGTGATCTCACAGCCCGCCAGCTGCAATGTGGTAATTGCCCATCTGCACGCACTTCATGGCAAGCACAAGTTAACTATCTCCTTGTTCATTGTGAGACAGAGTGCTGTTGCATTTGTTGTGGAGTAAGAGCATAGCTATGGACAGTTACATAGTTATGGGCAGAGAAGCAGCTGATGGACTGTACATTCACGTTAGTTTATGTCAAAGTACCTTGGTTGTCTGCTGAGTCTTTATCTGGAAGAGACATATGTGTGCTTCTCTCTGGACTTACAAAGACGAATATAAGCTTCTACCAAAGGCAAACGAATCAGGAAAAGTGTATAAAATGCTTTTATGCAGTTATTTTTAGTTGATTGCAGTCTAAATATAACTGATGTTTGGGCTTTACCTCAGGCTTCAAGTTTACCAGCAGCTGCGTGAAGAATTAGCAAAAGTGAAGACTCTAGAGGGCATTGTAGATGTCAACAGGGAGCTGAAACTGCGATGTCAGGTACCAAGATGGGCTCTAATCTCCCAGAACAGCACTGCCTGCACTTGGTGGCAATGTACCAAGTATGTCATAGAGTTGACATCCATTAGTCACTTCTCTGGGATTTGTGGCTTACTAACCTTGATATTCGTAGCTTACTACAGTAGCATCCCCTTAAGCCTGGACAACTTTATGTGGGATAAAGTTGATTTAGGAGTTAGAAATGTGCTTCACTTCATCTGTCATAGATGGTTTTTTAGCCTATATGTAATAGTCAGTAATTGTTAGCTTAAATTTCAATTTGTGATTTCCTGGAGTTTGAAGTGTTATTTAGTGTATTTTCTGACAACTCCAGGAAGACTGACTGTAACTCTATGCTGCAGGAAGAAATAGCTAATCAGAAAGAAGGAGAAAAGCCAAAAGAAGGGTTGCCTTTTTTCCACTGGATCTGTCAGCCATACATCAGGCCAGGGTGAGTTACTTTTATTGATACTAACAGGTACTCATAGGCCTTTCCCACCCATACCATAAAAAAAGAAAAAAAAAAGAAAAAAAAAAAAAAAAAAAAAAAGCCTGAAGAAGACTTTGCATTATTTGTATTCTAGTTTGGTTGTTTCCTAGTTAGTGCTTTGTTTGTGGCGATGTTGCTCATTGTTTGCATCTTCGCCTTTGGATCCTCCTCAAATTTCTCTCTCTCTCTCTCTCTCTGGAAAGTAAAACTTAGGAATCCCACAGCAGCTAGCAGCTGAGAACAAGAACCTGATGTGCCTAATTTAGCGGGCCAACTTTAATTGGCTTTCCTACTGATATATCTGATAGTGTGTCTGTTATTAACTGCTAGTGTTAACCAAAACAGCTAGGTTTGTCTATCCCATTTCTAAGGGCAATGACACTTCATTTCCACAATAGAAAGGTTTATGGTTTACCCAGATTTCTGTAAACCAAAACAATGGTCAGGGAACAGCTACTCCTTCCCTCCAGTCAACTTATGATGAAATTCACTGTTTCAGGCCAAAGGAGAGATGCAGGGAGAATGGAGATAGTGGAACTGAAAAAGGTGTGCGAGGAAAACGTGCTCTGGAAGAAGAGGAAGATGGAAATTCTGAGCTTCTGTCAAAGAATAAACAAAAAAAGAAGTTAAGAAATCCAAATAAAAGCTTTGATCCATCTTTAAAACGTAAGTTCCATTTATTGGCATAAATATGTGGAGATATGCTGATTTCGACATAACTTGCCGCTAAGAATTTTCCTGGCTTGTGTACTTGTAGAAACTTCTTTGAAAAGAGGAGGAATTGTTGCTATTGAAATTTCAATAGCAGGCAACATGATTCAAAAAATGCTCACTAGTAAAGGAAACAAGGATCAAAGTAGTAGGTCACTGATTCTCTCTAAGCATCTTTTTAAGATCAAAATTATTTACAAACTGCATTGTAGCTATCGTTAGCATTTGAAGTAGAAATTTTGTATGAATTTCAAGCTGATGTCCTCCTGTTTTAAAATTTAATCCTGAGGATTAAAATTTTCAATGTTTGGATTTTAGCATAGAAGCACTTAAAAATTCAAAGTATTTTTACCTTTGCACTGTTACTGGAGGTACTGTATTTTTATTTCAAAATGAGTCTCTGTCTAGAAAAGCACCAAGCTTTTCTGGTTCTGATTTTTTTTTTAAACTTACTTCTTCCACATAAAAATACCATTGGTGAAATCAGGTTTCTCTCTCTCTCTTTCTCTCTCTTTCTCAGCCAAGTATGCAAAATGTGATCAATGTGGAAACCCTAAGGTAAGTCAGTACAGGCGTCCATCAAAGCATTTCCATTAAATGGAAATTAAATGTCCATGTAGGGATCAGTGTCTGGATGGAGATCAGTGACACGTGGTGTCCCTCAGGGGTCTGTACTGGGACCAGCACTGCTCAATGTCTCCATCAATGATGTGCGTAGTGGGATCAAGGTGTCCTCAGCATACTGACAGATGACACCAAGCTGAGTGGAGTGGTGACACACCTGAGGGACAGGGCCATCCAGAGGGACCTGGACAAGCTCAAGCAGTGGCTTGTGGGAACCTCTGAGGTTTGACAAGGCCAAGTGCAAGATTCTGCACTTGTTCAGGGCAACCATGGTATCAAATCCAGGCTGGGGGGAGGCACAGACTGAGAGCAGCCCTGCCCAGGACTTTGGGGTGCTGGTGGGAGAGAGGCTGGTCATGACTCACCAATGTGCACTCACAGCCCAGACAGCCCCTGTGCTCTAGGCTGCATCAAAAGCAGCATGGACAGCAGGTCACGGTGGGGGGCATTCTGTGCCTTTGCTCTGGTCACACCCCCGCCTGGGGCTCTGCATCCAGCTCTGGGGCCCTTGGTGCAGGAGACACAGGGAGCTGTTAGGGCAGGCCCAGAGGAGGCTACAAAGATGACTGGGGGATGAAGTCCCTCTGTCAAGGAGACAAGCTGAGAGACAGGGGGGCTGTGCAGCCTGGAGAAGAGAAGGCTCTCTGGGGAGCCTCACTGCCCCTTCCAGTACCTAGAGGGGACTTAAAAGAAAGACAACGATGGAATTTTTAGCAGGGCTTGCTGGAGTAGGACAAGGGGCAATGGGTTTGAAGAGAGGTAGAAGTCATTTTTTATGGTGAGGCAGTGGCCCAGGTTTCCCAGAGAGGTTGTGGATGCCCCATTCCTGGAAACATTCAAAGTCAGGTTGAACAGGGCTCTGAGCAACCTGATCTAGTTGAAAATTCCCTGCTTTTTGCCTGGGATTGGAGTAGATGACCTCTACAGGCTCCTTCCAACCCAAAATATTCTATGATTCTGTTCTGTTATTCCAAATCGAAAGGTAGGTCTGTGCCAGTGCCCAGTGACACAGGTGCATGCCAAGTCCTGCTGATAAGTGTGTGTGTGGGGAGGAAAGCCCACCCTTGGGCAAAAGCTTTTTAACCATTAACTGTAACCAATCTCTGAGGTTGAAGGTGCTGCACAAAAATCCTTAACATACGTAACAGATTCTTTGAGAGACTTTGAGAGACTTTGCCTTCCTCTCCAAAAAAGTGCAGTCCTGCTGCTGCTGAGGGTATTTATTGCTGAGACAGTTGAGTGAGTTAATTGAATTTCTGAAGATATCTTGGAAACAAATCTCCAGACTTCTACACATGTATGACATGCATATTTTACTGTGAAGTGAAAAACAACCCCCTCTTATTGGTGTTAATGGTGGGTGGAGTTTTTCTGCAAAGGGAAAATTTGAATAACTGGTGTGGTTCTTAGTGTAAAATAAAAATACTTCATGTCATCGCAGTACAGCCTGCAGCGTCAGGCAGCACCTGCAGCTGTTTTGTGTTTGGATCTCTGCCCTTATCAAAACAAGCCTAAGCACCTCCTCATCCTCAGTTCTGCCTTTGCAATAAATTAACATTGACTTTCACTATTAGCAAAGCGAAATGAGGCAGCTGGTTTTACAGGTTCTGTATTGAAATTTCAAATATTTTGATATTTGCAAAGAGTTCGTTTTGCTTTTGCTTGTTTATTTTTTCCCTTGGGGGAACATAGCTATTTGCTTGACAGGGTGATGTTGCTGAGCTGTGTAAGCAGAGTGCATTTATTGCTGCTAATATACCTGTAAAGTGGGGTGTAAGATATAAGTAATTTTGTGTTCTAGCTTAAAAATTAGCATTACATACACCTCAGGGGCAGGGAAGCCTGCAACACAAGCATATGATGTTGCTCCTTGTTGTAACACTGTTACTGCAGCAAAGCAGGGGCAGCCAGCTGGGGCTTAATTTGAAGTTGCAGCTACTGAAAAAAATGGGATTTTTTTTGCTGTGTTCATCATTGGGAAGGCATTGAGCACTAGGCTGGCCTGCTTTCAAAGCCATCCTGTTTCATAGCTAATCCAGGTGTCATTGCTTGGTGCATAAAGCAAGATTGTCTGCACCAGGGCTTAGACTTATTTTTGTTTTGCTGTTGCATCACTGTAATGTTGCAGGTAGCTCTTGAAATCTTCTGACCAGGTCTGTAATTATTTTTTTTCCGCTAGATTATGTGCTTCTGAGCTATGTCATGAAATGGGGTAGGGGTGTGTGGAGAAGGAAAAGGATAAGGAACTCAACTAAAGCCTCCCTAAACATGAAAAGTTTTCTGACTAGGGTGAAGGGAACCATGGTACACAATATCAACCCCCTTTTCTAAACTCTATGTGAGCAAAGCAGCCCCGAGACCCAGGCTAGTTCTGCCACCTCATCAGGTAGCCAAGACTCAGCTGCTGCCGTCCCCTAAGGGTCGCACATTATACTTTTAATAAATATGCAGGTGTATTTTAAGATACAAGTAGGGAAGTAATTCTGGTGGTAACATATTGTAGGCATAGATGCAGATGGTAGCGCTGTGTTTCATGCTGCAGAGAACTAGAGCAGGCTCGCCAGCACCAAATGTGTTCATGCTTGTTCCAGAGGGCTTATGGCATGTGGCTGCTTGTGGTGGGTAGCTCGGGCTGCCCAACAGGCTGTGGGGGCTGCACAAGTTGAATGTGGATTTTTTTTTTTTGGTCGGTTGGGTTTTTTTTTCTTTATGTGCAAACAGCAGATAGCACCCAATATGACATCAACTCCATCATCTTCATTAGGCTGAGAACACGGTTTTTTCCAAAGATCTGAAAGTGCAGAGCTGTATTGTTACTTATTATAGTAAACAGTAATAATTTTTCACTGACACAAGCTTCTTTATACCACTGTCCCAACCCAGGGCACTAAATGTGTGTTTAATATGTGCCGAGGATGCTGTAAGAAAAGAGCATTCAAGGAGGTAGCAGATTGTCCAGGTAAGTGCATCTGGCCTTAACAAGCAAACATCTTATCCATCTCCCATCTATATTCATTACTGAATCTTTGGGTTATGGGGTGTAGGTGAGTGCTAAAATCTACATACTACCTAAAATCTACATACTACCTACGTGTTATGTAAAAGTTTGTAGTACCATTTTAAAAGACTGCTCTTCCTTCTCTATGTCATTGCTCCTGCTTCCAAAGCCTTGGGATGCAGTTTCCAGTCTGTAACGACCCGGTCTTTATAAGGAATGAGGTATTCCGTTTACCACTGTAGTCACCTCATTTCAGGATGTTGGTTTGGAGTTTTTTCCCCCTTTTGCTTTTTCAGGTCATGGACTACTTTTTAAGACCAAGTATGAAAAATCCCTTTCATGCCAGCACAGTCAAAGAGGAATTCAGACTCCAGAGATCAGTCAGAGAGGAGACACAGAGGTGGGGGAGACAGCAGTGCTGAAGGAGGCTGGTGACAGTACAGGGTGAAGCTTTGGAAATGAACAGTCCAAGAGCTCCTGCCAGACCACTACACTACTTCCCTGGGCCAAAGAATGTGTCATCTCCAGCTCACTGTCAGCTGTGTGAACTTCTTCCACATAATTAAGTTCTGGAAAAGTTTTATTGAAGTAAAAAACTGCTTACTCAGGGAATTATCCTGCATTTGAAATAAAAGAGATGCAATTAAATGTCTAATGCTGTATTTGAAAGACTGAAAAAGCTGCATTTTTGGGTGGAGACAATTTCTGTAAGCTGCCATTACACTCTGCCTCCTGTATGCTCATTAACCCTTCATGTTCTGTTTTTAATACTGGCAACTAAGTTTATTGTATTAGAACAGCCTTCTGGCATACTAAAAATAGCAGTGTAAGTGACTTCCTCACAAACAGAAAATGTGTCACATTTGTTAGTGGTTTAGTAGGCTTCATTTTTAATGCAGAAAGGAAAGCAGCAGTACTTGGAAAATGTGAATGTAAAACTGTAACATCTTGCTATATCCACATTAACAATTATTAGTTTCTTACAGTATGATCACACTTAACAGTCTTCCATGAGCCAAAGGTTGGGGGAGGATGAAATCTCTATTTTAACAGAGAGGGTTATCTAAAAATATGTGGGAAGTTGTAACCAAGTCCAGTAGTATTTCCTTGCTCAAGGTCTGGTACTTCATGATGTAGTCATTTGTCCTTTACATGTGATAAATTCTGAGAGATGTGACAAAACCAGATGCAGGTCCTACACATGCCTTTTTTAAAGATGGAAACTTGAAACCACCTCTTCCACTTCATGTGGAAATAGTCCACTTCTTCCCTTGCACAGGCATACATGCTAAAGCTGTCAAGTAGTCTGAGTTTCCTGGTCTGTTCCCCCTCTTGGAGTAAAAAACCCAAATATGTATTATCCTAGAATTTCAAACTGTTTATTGACCTCTCCCCGTTAACAGTTTCCCAAAAAGATCAGAAAGCTCAGACATTCTCCTGCTCAAAGTCTGCAAAGGCAAAACAGCCAGTTCCAGCACAAAAGAACTGGGGCTGTGTGAAACACACAGATTTTGGATCACCCCTCCCTCTCATAAATACGGTGTCGTCACTGTATTTATGAAGTACCAGAAGTACTAGACCAGTGTGAAGGAACAGTCAAGGTGCTTTTGGCTCCTAAATTCAGGAGAGGAGCCTTACACTTGAGAGTAGTAATTGGATACCATTCTATAAAGAATTAGTATTTAAGGTATATTTGTCCCTCCCTCCATACCAAGGCATTTCTTAACAAGCACAATGGAGGAATGCAGGTATACCTTATCTTGTCCACTCCTGTCCATGGCATGGCTGGAGGCTGCCACACTCCTGACACAGGGCTGAAAAACTGCTCAGTTTGGCACTGCAACATAGACCCACCTCTGTGCATCCAACTGCAAATCACCACACTAATGGAAAAAAGTGTCAACCTGAACATTCAGCAGCTGTGCAACAAGATGCCAGCCTTGCAGTACTATGGCAAAGCTGTCCAGATGAGCCATGGCTCATTAAGCAATGCTTGTGAACTCAGAGGCCCAATTGCAACATGAGCAAAGCCAAGCCACTTACTGTTCACACTGAGCACACCTGCACTAACAAGGGATTACTTTCAGGCTAGACAATATACGAATTTTTCTGTTTATCTCTAATCAAAAGATTGTAGTTTGCCAGCTCGGTAAGGTCAAGGCCTGTTTTGTTTCTGTTTCACAGGCCCTTAAGGAGATACACACTATTTTATTTTCATGGAGTAGGGGGAAGAAAAGGCAGTGCTCTGAATGTAGAATGATGCTGAAAATGATGCTCAGTCTTCAGGAAAATGGGTTCTCACATCTAAATTATTTTCAGAGGCACACAAGAAAAAGCTGGGGTATTTCACAAAAGAAAAAAAGAAAGCCAACTGCCTTTATTTGAGAAACAGGTTATGACATGAGATATGAGAAAGATCTAAAAAAAAATTTAAAGACAAAAAGGTACATCAAAACAAAGACTGAAACTCTGAGATTTCAGCATGTATTTACGGGGTACAAACTTTGAAGTGCAGAGAGTTCACAGTTGTATCGACTACAGGCAAAGGGAGTATAAAGCTAGAGCTGAAGGCTTAGAGAACTGAAAGAGTGGTACCTGTAGGGTCAGGGATAAAAAGAATACCCAGCCTGATCTACCACCTGAGCCAGATTTTTCAGGTCCTGCCACTTGAGTTCTTGTTTGAATTAGACCATCTCTTGCTAATGTCCTGCAGTCTGTAGCTTCAGTAACTCTACCAAGGCCTAAGCTTGAGTTATTTCTTTGATGTCAAGAAACTTAATTGCATAATGAAGTTACCAAGCTTCTAATTAGTGAATCTTGCACATTTTCTCTTAGAGCTTGACATGACCTATTAGCCAGTTTCTGTTCCCCTTTCTAACTAATTTAGCCTAATCAAGTTATCCTATGAAAGAATCTAAAGCTACACAGCAACCCTATGAAATGCTGAATGGAGTTCAGAGATCCTTAAGAACACAAAAGCCAAAATAACATTACTTTAACTACAAAGCTCATTTGCAAAGCAGACAAGTAATCCTTTCCCTATTCTCTAACAGCATCAGAGGAAGCAGAATTCAGTTCCACTCCAGTTTGGTGGTTTTCACCCTACTGCAAATTCACAGCTGATGGAATACCAGAGAAGCAAAACACTGACTTGTCTCAACCTCAGCTGTCACAAGCAGATAGTATAAAACATACTTAGAGCACTGTCTCATGCAGCACACTGCTGCCCCACTGCTATCTGCTTCATAAAGAGTAATGAAGATGGCAGAAGAATCTCAAATAGTCAAATTTATTTGGCTGAGACTTTAAAAGAAAAATGAATCAGTGCTTGACAAGCACTTTCTACCAATACAACAATGGGTCTTTGTCAGATTGAAGTTTCCTCTTTATTCTTTCCCTGAAAGTTTACATTACATTGCACATATCAGAAATAATACCTTATTCAGTGGCAGTTTTGGGGGGCTATCCAGAGGATGGAACAGTGCTGAGACCTTTGCTGCAGAGTCACAGAAGAGATGTACAGGTCACACTCACATGGCCTGGGACAAAGACCGAGCTCTGTTATTTTCTCCCTCACTTACTGACACCTTTCAGCCAAAAGCAGCTCATAGATGATGCTGCAACAGCCATGGTCCTCTAAACAGACCTCCCCCTGCAAAATCTAGCAACACAGACCACAGTGCTGGCCACGTTCTGGGCAGATAATTACCAATCACCCCAAACTAACACTAATCTCACAGTGGCAACTTCTACATTACCACTTACAGTGAGTGTGCTAATTAAAACTGCCTTTGCCAAAAGAATAAGGTTTTTTCAACTGTTTTTCCTTTAGTCCTAGCAAGGTCATGTAAAGAAAGCAGGATTTACACTGCATGAGGAACCTGTCATGGCCTACCACTGGCACTTCCTTAACAAAAAGGTGCTGCACAAGTTCATTAAATCCATACGAATGGGCCCCTCTGATCATATCTTAGACATACCAACATGCTACACATTCCACAAAACTTCATCACTGAATTACCTTGGTGGTCATAAGGAATCACCGAAAATTCAATCTATGTGGGTCACTATTTCCCCATTTATTACTTGGGAAATTACATAGAGATTTAAGGTAAGAATCATTTTTACTGGGGGAGACTGCTTATGAGTGCAATTTTCCTAGAACTATATGCATACTGTGTTGTATTTTGTGGGGTTTGAGACTGGCAGGCAGTTAGGACTGAGGCAGGTGTAGGACAATGTCTAGAAGAAACATGCCTGTACAGCCCTGACTCCCATCTACAAGATCCAAAAGCAACAGCAGCTTCTTTCACAGGCTAAAGGAGAGAGTTACATGCCAGTAATTCTGCACAAAGCACCCACGATGCCAATGTAATAAAAGAGAAATGCTTGATAACTCCCAAAGAGGCGGCAAGCACTTTTGTCTGGGGGGACAAAAACTTAACCATGCCTGCCAGCATACAGAATGGCCTCGGGCCACAGCCAGAGCTGGAAACTGCTGTTGCCACCTTGTGGGCCCCTTGTGGCTGCTGAGGGATGTGTGATGCCGCTGGTGTCTGGAAGTACAGAGACTCTAGTCAGCTCAAGACACCACTGAGGAGTCCTGCAGCAGAAATCCTCCAGCAAGGGACTGATATAAATAAATAAATAAAATAAAAATCCCAAAAGTGGGAGCACAGACGGTCACCTGGCATGGTGCACTTCACTGGGATGCAAAACCACCTCCTAAAGAGCAGAGTGTAACATCTTTTCCTGATAAATACTATCACTGGCCCATCTGCGGAAGAAAGCAAAAATGTTTGAGTAGCATTCAGGACTGAAAAGCTTCCCTTCAACACAAACAGAAAACGTAAAAGTACTTTCCCTGCATTTCTTATAAGGATGTACAGCAATTTACCCAAGGAGTCAACTTGCCTTTCTCACTAAACTGGCCATCAGCGATGCTTGACACTCAGTTCTTCCCTCAAAAATGGGAGAATTTTTCCATGCCAAATGTAACCAAAGACCTCACAGAAACTATTGCTTCCATTTTCAGCACCTAAGTAATAAAAAGCATGGAAAGCCAGGAGAGACCACTGTTGCTACAGGAATTTTGCTGTTCGAATGTTCCTTCAAACTGCACTTTCTTTACATTTCATCCAAGCTGCATCTCCAACCAGATCAGAAAGCAAAACAATCGCCTATGAAACATCATAAAGCTTAGCAAAAAAACAGAGGCTTAAGATCAAAATACCTAAAACCCAACCTTAACACAAAATTCCAAATACTCAGAAGTTTTTTAATCCTGCTGTTTAATGCACTAGATATAACAACTTTTTTTTTTTTTAAAAAAAAGCACGAACACATTAAAAGTAACATCTGTAGTCACTTGCCAGACCAGTCAGGGATGGATCAAAATTCTCAGCTTGCCTTATGGATTAGATGAATAAAAGGCAGCAATGACTTCAGAAAATTCAGTGCATATCTCTTTTCATGAACACAGGAGGATAATACAGACATACACACACACACACACACACTGGGCTGCCACCTTTAACCCCTTTATAAAAAGAAAAGCAGAATAAATGCACCTGGAGAGTGGGCACTAGACTTACTCTTTTTAGGGCTTCCACAAGACTTGAGTGGTGTTCTATGGCATTTATCCATTC